CCCCCCGAGCAGACCCCGCTCCCCCTGGAACTTCCGGCAGTCCCATGTGCCACCTCTTCACGCGGGCCCAATCGCCCAAAAGACCTCCGACGACATGATGGCGTGGCCCGCCGCCGGGTGGCGGCCTCGCGAAAGGGAGCCAACGTGTTGCATTTACACACGCGTGCGCGCTGTGTGGCTCTGCGTGCGGTGTACTCAAGGGTGTCTCTCCGCGCGCGCGTTTGAGCGGATGATGCTCGTGCGTCCAGCCCCCCCCCCCCCCCCTGCCCCTCTCGGTTGCCCGAGCCCCGGATCGCCCGGCCTCCGCCGAGCCACGAGCGTTGGGGCTTTGACGACTCTTTGGCAGGCACAGCGGGGGCTAATGGCGGCTCCCGCTGCGACAGAGTAGCACCCCCCTCCCCCCCTCCCTCCCTCTCCTCCTTTCTTTCTCCTGCACTCCCTCTGCTCCTTCCTCCGCACACAGCATGCTGTCTCTGATTTCTGCGCGCGTTGCCCGCCAGTCGCTAGCTGGCGCCACGCAAACCTCCCGCCTGCTGGCTGCCCAGATGGCGCCGCGCCGCGCGCACTCCACCTCCTCGGCTGCGTGCGTCCCGGGCCTGCGCTCCGTGCATCTCGCTACACATTGACTTACACCAGTATGGCCCCCGTCATGGGCGACCCTCGCGCCAATCACCCCCGCCCTAGTCCCGATGCCGCCACCGTCAATGTCACCTATGTCTCCGCCACCGGCGAGGAGTTCCCCGTGGTTGGTAAGGTTGGCGAAAACCTCCTGACGCTGGCTCACGCCAATGACATTGACCTGGAGGGCGCTTGTGAGTGCTCCTGCGCATGCTCCACCTGCCATGTCATTGTGCACCCGGCTTTCTATGACAAGATCCCCGAGCCCACCGACGAGGAGAACGACATGCTGGACCTGGCCTTCGGCCTGCAGGAGACGTGCGTCACCCCTGCGTCGTTGACCGTCTGCCTGCTGCCGGGGCTTTCCCTTTCTGCTTTCGCTCTGTCACCTTTCCTGCATCTCTGACGCCCTGCTTGTCCCATGGCCCCGCTGGGTGGCCGGTATCGCCCCACTCGGGGGGCGCATCCACACGCACGCACGCATGTGTGCGCACAGCTCGCGCCTCGGCTGCCAGGTGCAGCTGACTCCCGAGCTGGAGGGGATCCGCCTGCTGCTGCCGGTGGCCACGCGCAACATGGCGGTTGATGGCTTCAAGCCGACCCCGCACTAAGCGTGTATTCCTCCCCTCCCCCTCTTGGAGTCCGGTTGCCGTCCATCGCTCGGCCTCCCTGACGTGCTCTTGCACAATCTCCTCTCTCTCCCTCCCCCCCCCCCTGTCTCAGGCAGTGATGTCCTCTCCTTGCCCCCTCCCCCTGCCAAGAGAGCTGCTTACCACTGTGTGGGACACTCCCCCCCCCCCGATACCCGAAAGAAACAAAACAATAGAATCCCCTCACCACTGACTGGAGTGTGTGGTCTCCAGGCCGTGGGGGGCTCGCCTGCGTGGCCCTCGGCCGGTGGGCCCATTTTTGAAGATCTAACACGCGCCTGTGCATTTAAAGTACGCACATAAGGGACGAGCGGCGAAGGGTGGATGCGTGGGGCGAGAGAAGAAAAAGCCAGGAGCATTTCCTCGCAAGACAAAGGAGGCACGCACACAGCCACAGGGCGCGTGCGTTTTTGCGCCCGCACAGGCGCGGCCCTGACTTCGCCCCTCGCCCTCTCGTACGGCCACAACGACGAAGGGGTGTCGCCTGGGCAAAAAAATAAACGTGTGGATACCCAGAATCGAACTGGGGCCGAGTGGGCCACAACCACTTATACTAACCACTATACGATATCCACTGGACATGGTATTGCCGGCAGGACAATGTGCATATATGGGTGGTGTTTCATGCCCTTGTGGGCATTCGCAGGCGAATGGGAAATCGGGTGATCGCCGAGCCGGCGGTGTGATCCGCCCGGCTGCTGCGTATGTTAACTCAAGGCGAAGATGGTGGTGGTGCTTGCTTTTCGGAATCCCGACTTGTCACCGAATGTAGTGTCAGATCGGGGGGCAGCATGGTCGGCGTCCGGCATGTCGGGGGTGCACCACGGTCAGGCAAGGGGGAAAGCATCCTCAGCCGGGGGGGGGGGGGGGGGGCCAGCACGCCATCCGAAAGGGGACACCAGTGAACCCGGCATCCGACGTGTTATGTGTCCAGTGCTGGCGGCGCACACCGGACCCCGAAGAGCGGGGGAGATGAGCGGCGCGCATCCACCATCCCAGGCCGAAACATGATTCTCGGAAGGTCCGGGGACCGCTGGGTCCCTTGGTCGTTCGCAGCCGACCGGCCGGAGGGGCTTTTCCCCGGACTCCGGGATTTTAGGCACCGCCGCACACATGTGTGGAAGCCGCGACATGGAGGTGCGTGCAGGCCGCACAAGAAACGAGCCGATACTGGTGTGGCCGCGCGGCTCCCGGTCCCCTCCCCCCCCCCCCCCTTCCGGCTGGCGGCGGAGCCGGAGTTGCGCCCCACTGGGGGGCGGGGGGCGGGGGGGGGGGGCGGGGCAATAGCCAGCCGCCCCTTGGTCTCGGTGCGCCGGGCGTATGGCTGAAACGTCGGCCCCCCTGCGCATGGGCCGGCGACAGTGAGGACCCTGACAGGCGCCCGGGAGGGGGGGGGGGGGGGGGGGGGCGGGGGGGGGGGGGGGGGGGGGGGGGGGGGGGGAAGGGGCACGCCCATGCAAACGCCCCCCCCCCTCCCGCCCCCTCCACCAACTGGCCGCTCGCTGCCCATGACCGAGAGACACGCGCGCCCAAGAGAGAGAGAGAGAGAGAGAGAGAGAGAGAGACAGAGACAGAGGCAGAGAGAGACAGAGGGGGAGAGAGACAGAGAGAGAGAGAGACAGAGAGAGACAGAGAGAGAGGGGGGGGGGGGGGGGGGGGGGGGGGGGGGGGGGGGGGGGGGGGGGGGGAGGGGGTGCGGGGGGGCAAGGTGACTGGAGTGGGGGGGGGGGGGGGGGGGGGGGGGGGAGGCCAAGGGTACAGGGCTGGAGGGCTGAGTCGACCGAGGGCGGGAGAGGAGCAGGAGGGGGGGCCACGCCCGGGCCTCTGGAGGCCGACAGGCACTCCAGCCCCTCTGGCGGTCCGCCGCGCGCCTCGCGGTGCTGGGCGCTGTCGGCGCCCGGGCGTCCGCCCAGGCCTGGCCCTTCTCGCATGGCGAGGGTGCCCCTCAGTGTGGGAAGAGGGAGGAGGGTGCCGCCGCTTTGAGCGCGCCTGTCCATGCGCACTGGACTACGGGCGCTAACTGGCGCACAAACAGAGTCCCGTGCCCGGCCCATTGGCCGACGGGAGCCGACCGCGGGCTGTGCAACGCTCCTCCCCGGTGCGTGTGAGACAATGGCCGGGCGGTAGGGGGGCGCGCGCCGGCAAAGCCGGCCATCGACCGCCGCCGGTAAACGGCCCGCCCCGCCGCTCGTCTCGCTGCCCGGCCCGGCCGGGGGTGGGGGCAGGCAGGCAAATGAAGCGCGGGCATTGTTTTCGACAAGGCCGCCAGCCCCTTCGGCCCCCCCCCCCCCGCGGAGGCGGCGGGATCCAGCCGCCAGAGTTGACGGCTTGGCCGTGCACAACATGCGCGTGAGCCCCCCCCCCCCCGCCCGGCTGGAGCCCTGGGCCGGGGGGCCGAGCCAGAGGCGGAGAGCGGCGCGGTAGCCGGGGAAGATGCTATTATTTAATGGGCTTTTTCGCGCTCCTTGTGAACCGGCAGTGTGACTCCCTCTCGCCGGCTCTCCGAGGCCCGGCGAGGAGGCGTGAATGGGTCCGGGACCGGCGGGCGGCCGCACGGGGCCATTGGCGTGTTCGCCCTCCCCGAGCGCCGCCCTCCCAGGGGCGCATGTGTGCACGCGCGTGCAGCCCAGCAATGTCCCTCGGCCACCCTCAGTCGGCTGGGGGGGGGGGGGAGGAGGCGCGGGTGTTCCGCGCCCTTGACCCGACCGCGCGCCGGTAGGCTCTGTTATGACTGGCCTGGGCCGATTCGCCCGGCCGCTGCTCGTGCGTGTGAGTGTGTGCTATGCAGGGCATTTGGGTTTTCAGCGAGGCAGGGGCGCATCGCTGCCAAGGCCTCCGCTCGCTGTGCGAACGGGCGAGCAGCCGCATTACTCCTCGAAATAAGCCACGCGCCTTTGTTTGCCTCGTCGGCAGGGTGGAATGTCAGCCCCTCGCCGCCCGGTTGCGGCCTTTTTCCCTCGGGGGGG